AGACTTCCCTCCTCCCTCCATATTTGCTAACATCTGGGCTCACCAGCAAGTGTAAGGAGAGCACTCCCCACCCTTGTCTGTAGGCATTGCATGTGTCCAGTGGGGCAGAGTACCTTTGCTCAGCTGCTCCAGCTTCACACACTTTTAGGACCCATCTTTCTGGGGCAGGAATCCAGTGAGAATAAGGGGTCATAAAAACAGACATGGCCCTCCTCTCCTGCTCTTTGTTGAAAACACAGATGTGCTCAATGACTTTTTTTCCATAGACATCCTCCTTGTCAACACTCTGTGGGGACTGACTGGTAATGTCATGCTAGTGCAGGGGGCAGGACTGAGATGCCTCTGTCCACAGACCATGCAGTAGCTGTCATACAAAGGTATTATTAGTTTGGGGCATAAGAAAGAGTGGTTTTTATCAAACTCCAGTGGTGTGTGCCAGTGATGTTGGGTTCTTCACAGAAAAATCATCACCCACACTCTGGAAACAACTGGCCATTTATTTTCAAGCGGAATGGCTTGGAAGGCAGACATGAGAGCATGTGGCTAGACACTGAGTTGTTTGTGCCCATGCTGAGTGGGTGAAAAGTGGACAGAAACCAGACATGGGGAAGAATTATGTAGGATTTTTTGGGGTGGCCAAACATCATCCAAAGGGTGTGAGGCCATCAGCACATACATGCGGATATGTAGCATTTCTGTAAAGTTGGAAGAGTTCAGTTTCAAGATCTAGGTTAGCATACTATTTAATATCAAATATCACTTTTCCAAATTCTACCATGCACTCTCACAGGCAAAGCGCCTCATCCAAACTCGCCTAAGCAAAAGTTCCACTGATGTATCCTGCAAGCTAGCAGGAGCTACCTGGAAGACATAAGAAGTGCTTGTGGGACATTTCATTTCACTAAGGAAGGAAGGAATGGGAAATCTTTTTTTTGATAGAAATGGTGGTATCTTAATTTTTACACTGGATACTGGGGTGACATGCTTCAGAAGTACATAATGGTTAGCCAGCTAGATATACATAGATAGACAGTTTTGCTTAATTAAGAATGCAGGATTGGACCTATGACAGATTTTTTTTACCAGGGGCACAAAAAGAGAACTTGCCTTGGTAGGAATGAAAGTCAGCAGATGTGCTCTTCTGTATGATCCAGTTCTGAACCACTTGCTGGTTCACGAACTTCAAAATAGCTCATTGTTTATAAGGCAGTGTTTTATGAAGCTAAGTAGTTCAGTCACATTTGGAAATGGTTGGTTTTGGGGAGGTTTTATATCTTGACAATATGCTGCAAGTGAATACAGGTTGCTTTATACTTCTGCAGCTATTAGACTTGGATTTTATTATTAGACAAATACATATCTTTACTTCAGTTAGTTCTTTCAAATCCTTCCTCACTGCCTCCTCCCTCCTTTGCCTCCCTGACATATCCCTCAGATCTTACTAAGAACAGTTTTGGGAAGCCTATTGTTTCACTTTTCAAACTGTACGCTTAGGCTTGATATTACACAATGCTTCATCCAATTCCCTTTTTCCTTACGCTGTCATTTCATTCTTAGAAATGGCACTTCCCACTAGAGTGACATATCTGAGAATGCAAGATAGTGTCCATTATTGTTTAGAAAGAGTCATCTGGCACCCAAACCCCTGCCTGATTCAGAACAGTCTTCTGACCCACCTCCAACCCTATGAGCTTCCCCTCTCTAAAGGATGAATATTGCTCTCAGTTACACCCATGTGAATTTTGGGTAATTGCAATTAAGTCAACACAGTGTCACCTGAAGAAACAAGGGCAGACTTCACCTTCTATGTTTGAAGGGATTTGGTGTTTTCCCTAAGAGGTTCAATTCAATCCATTTAGAATAAAACTTGAAAAATAATCATTGCATAAGCATAGAAAAATCTTTAAATAAATAGGAAAGCAAATACAGTATAATACCTTTAAATACTTTATGCATGTGTGTGTCTGTGTGGTGATGTGTGTGTGCACATGTGTATTATACATCTCAAACATTGCCCGGTGACCACTGGGTAGAGTCACATTCGCACTGATGTGCATGCAGAGTAACTCCAGTAAGTCAGAGGATTTACACTGTGATCAGTTTGACTCTGTGGGCTGGATCATCAGCTGGTGTGAATTAGTTAAGGTCCACTGACTTCAGCTGAGGATCTGGCCATGCACTTTTGCCACCTGCCCTTGAGAGGACAGCGGGCCAAAAGAAGTGCTTTTCCCACCATTATTTTAAAACAGGAGAGGAAACAAAAAAAAATATCAAGTCAAAGAAATTGCTTCCGTCTGCAGCAGAAATGAATTAGACATTTTGTTCTGAGCAGGAGAAGCAGCTTCTGGTAGATATTTTATTGGATCCAGATGGCCACAAGAAAGGGAACAAGTGGGTGGTGGGGACAAGAGTGGTTTCAGTTACAGCCGTGTTTGTACCAGGGAGAGAAGAGATGAAGGGATAATACTGATGTTGCTCAGCTCTTCTTTCTCTAGGTTGCAGTTAGGACTGGTTCCTTAAATAATAAGATACTAAGCCCTCTGCCTTGTTGACCTTCTGTATACAGTGCAGCGTGCTCCTCCAAAACCAAGTAGGAAGCAAAGTACCTTTAGAGAACTCAGTGCTGTTATAAAGCTGTACAAGTAAGAAAGTGTTGATGTAAACTATGAAAAGAGGAACCTCCAGTGAGCCGATCTCTCCATCTTGCTCTCTTTTTTTCTCCCCTCTGCGCTCATTCTTTTTCTCTCACTGTGACCCATTCTCCCCAAAATGAAACATCCTCTGCGGAGGTTGAGCGCAGCTGTTCGTCAGGGTTGTCAGCAATGGCTCGCTCAGCTGAAGCTGTCAGGAGGACTGCATCAGGCCTGTGAGGCGCTTGCCCGCCAGAGACTTTCCCTAGAGGAACAAACAAACAAGAAAGCAGAAAAAGAGAGAGCCAAACATGTGAGTTAAGCTGCGGCACAGGAAAAAGAGGCCAGACTGCTCAGTCAGTTGATCTGGCGAGCTGGTTCTGTGACTGATAATGGAGAGCAGGAAATTGAAATGGTTGAAAGGTTGCAAAGATATCTGAATGCAGGGGGCAGGTGCCATACCCAAGGGCGGTGGTGGGAGTATGTGGTTTCCTGCCAATGCCAGTGCTTAAACAAAGGCAGTACATCGGATGTTACAGGGCTCTTGGTATTTAACCACTCCGTCTTAAGTCACATTGTGTGTCCATTCCTTGTTCACCCCTGTGAAAAGGCAAGTAACAGTGGTGTCAGTGTGCTGTGTATCCAGACCCTTAGAGGTGTTTTAATCACTCAAGGTGAGAAAATGTTTCACACTGTCTCATGACAGCTCCTCCTTCCTGGTTCCCCTGCTTTCCCCTTTCATGTCCTTCATTCCTTCCAAAGCACTGAAAAGAGTCTTGCAGTTCAGGGCTACAATCCTTGACCATGTAAAGCACGTAGGAATTTGACTATGGACTGCAGTGAGCGTGGGATCAAGGGTAGCTGCTTGAGGATGCCACTTCCATATCTGAATTGCTTCACTGGCTTATCCCATATGATCCCCGCTCTCCTTCACTGCAGTAAACTTCTGTATCAATTACACCTCATTTTTGTGCCTGTTAGGAGATGTATTTTTTAAACGGATGCTGTTAACTTTTCATTTAGCCAGATTTGAAAATAGAAGTTACAAGTAGGGTCAGGTACTATGTGAGTTGCCAGATCTCCTTGCCCTTTCTTTTTTTTTTTGGTGGAGAAAGGGGATTGACAATGATACTTTCCTTTTATCATTATTGAAATAAATATGGAAGATGCACTCCTGCAGGAGACTCCTGCTGTATCTGGCAGGTTTTTTTATGTTACTATAATTTGTTGCTTTCTGAAAAAAAGATCCACAAAAACAGGAAGAGACAGTAGATTTGACTAGACATAATTTGCAGTCAAATTAGGTAAAATGAAGCAAGTCAGATTAATTAAACTCTGTTTACAAAGTAAGCACCCTGAGGAATAGAGAAAAATGTTTCATTGTCTGATGTTGCCTAACCATAGGTTGGAATAGTAGGTAAACGATAGGTAAAATGATTAAGGACAGACATTTGACTTCTTATGACAATGTGCATTTTTAACTATACCAATAAGTAAGTTGTATATGCAAACACAGTCCAATTTGCCATCCTTCCAAAGGTCAACAGATTGTTGTAAAAAAATACCCCCAAAACACTGCTACTGTTCAAAATGATTGGAGTGTGGTTGGTTTTCAAAGCTTCATAATTTTTCCTAATTTTGAAGTGAACTGGTAAATGCACTTCATTTTGCAAAGGACTGATTCCTGCCCAGATATTGGTGTGTGTGTATATATATATATATATATATAAATATATATAATTTTAAACAACAACACTAATATAATATATTATTAATATATATTAAACAGCACACTAATATACTATATTATATAATTAATAATATATATAATTATTTATATAATATAATGGATTATATTATATATATAATGTATTTTATATATATTAGATTTTTCTCCTGCTATAAAATCAGCCAAATCATTCTCAGTATATTTTAAAATCACCTTTGGGCAGAGCTCAAAGCCAGAAAATGTTACTCAAACAAGAGAATGGCTTTCAGAACATGAGGGGGTAATGTTAATGCTTTCACAACCCCTACGCTACCTGTTATCATTACTCCAGCTGTTCCATAACAACAGTAAAGAATCTATACAGCAGCTGGATTCTACATTTTGCTTAACATGTTGGTCTTACCATTGGTTTGGGCAGCTCCTTCGAAGAAACCCTACAAAGATTTGGTGTGGTAAAGTAACTACTAGATTAAACTTATAGATTAGTTCAAGTCTGCAGCTTCCCTGGTGCAAGGAAAGTGATGGCAGTTGCTGGGGGATGATTCTAGGGAGAAGAAACCTGCCTTGCAGAAAGCACAAGCATGTTGCAGCTCCTGAACTGAGACATGGCAACACAGGCATTCTCTTCCCAACACCCCATCTTGTTGCCATGTTCAAGGGCCCATTCTGAGGTGGGGGATGAATTTGAGGGGATGGAGGGGCCCATACTAACACTGATTTTAATGTGTCCTTGTTTAAATTGGAAGGAGGAGGAGACTGCTGTTGCCAATGCCAGGCATATCAAAAAAAACTGACAGCAGAGTTAGTGGTGCCTAGCTTCAAGGAGAGGAAAAGATGGAGGTGAACATAGAGACTGCGTATGACTCACTGGAGTAGACTTAGAGACTGTGTAGGACTGGATATGACTCACTTGAGTAGACAAGCATGGTGCGCCATTAACCGCCTTACAGGCAAAGGTATAAAAAAAAGACATTGCCCTGTGTCAGCAAACTCCATCGCAAAAACACTGCAACAACAGCCAGTACTCAAGCAAGCAACACAGAGAAATGATTACAGATCTGACTCATGAACAACTTAGATCACCCACCACCAATCTTAATGTAACTGCCCCCATCTCTGACAATGAGTTTGACACAGTTATTAAAGCGATCAAGACTGGCAAGCCTGCTGGTTCAGATAAGATATTTACAGACTATGTTATGAAGCTTGGAACCACAGTGTAAAGATGGCTTCAGAAATTCATGTATAAATGCCTAGAAAGTAATAGACTTCCAAAAATGTAGAGAAAGGCTGATATCAGTGCTATCCTGAAATTCAATGAATGACCAGAGGATCCAAAGAGCTAATGACCTAGCTCACTATTCTGGGTTGCATGCAAACTCATGTGATGCAGAGCATCATCCTGAATAGAACAGAGAACATCATCGATCCCTAGCTCCCAAAAGAAAAAGCTGGCTTTCAGAAACAGCAGTATACCACTGACCAAGTTACATTACTTATATCCAACATAGAAAACAGATTTGAAATGAGGCAGAAAATAGGTATGGTCTTTATTGATTTTACAGCCACCTATGACACTGCCGTGGCATCAAAGCCTCAAATATAAATTGCACTCCATGATGCCTGACTGCAAGCTATGCGCTGTCATCATGAACACGATCTCCAGAAGATCATTCAAAATCACTTCCAGACAAGGAACCCTGAAGAATGGAGTCCTCCAAGGGTCAGTGTTAGCACCAATACTTTTCAATGTATATATCTCAGCCTTCCCGCATACAACACCTAAGCAATACATTTATGTTGACAATGTTGCCATAGTAGCCCAGGAAATACACATGACAAAACTTGAAAAGGTACTGAGTACTGACATGGATCTCATCACTGACTCCACAAATGGCACTTAAAGTTGAACATCAATAAATCAGTATCATTATTCTTCCACCTGAATAATTGTCAAGCCAAGAGCATGCTGAGTATCAGCATAGGCAACCACATCCTTCCCTATGAGCATACCCCAACCTACCTACGAGTCACATTATACTGTTCTGTCACCTAACACCACACTTAAAAGGTCTGTAGTAAAGTCTCTACATGGGTAATTCCCTTAAGATGTTTAGCCAGCATGATACGGAGTGCCAACTTCACAGTGCTCAGAACCACTGCACTTACAACGGTATACGCTACAACAGAATATTGTGCTCCTGCATGGTCCAGAAGTTGTCATACTAAAAAGCTCAACACTATACTTAACAGTGTGCTGAGACTCATAACTGGCTGCACAACTTATACACAAACATGTACTTCCTGTATTTTTGGGTATTAGACCAAGTGACATGGAAGACAGACCCTAACATCATTACTGACAATAGAGGCAAGAGATGATGAAAATCACCTGCTCTATCAACTCCAAACTAAAGACCCAAACAGATGGAGGCTTAAGCAACTTAAAAGTTGTAAACCATTTCTATATGAAGCCCAGAAGCTCCTGGAAGACATTAGGGATACTGAAGCAAGCCTACAGGCAGCAAAAGAGTGGGCCCACCACTGGGAAAGGTCAGACCTATTTCTACAGTGTTTTTTACCAACACCAAACAAGCCCCCACTGGGGCATGACCGTGACAGAGAGTGTGGGCCAAGCTGAACAGATTGAGATCTAAATATGGATGCTTCAGAACAACCCTTCACAAGATGAACACTTTGGATAGTCCCCTGTGTGAGTGCAGAATCCAATAAACAGCACAGCATTTAACTGAAAGCTGCAATCTCTACGAATGCCCAGAACGGGTAGATGGAATCCATATATTGAGTGATAATACCAGACAGTGGCTCATAGATTTGGAAGTTGATAACTGACACTATACAAAAGAAGATGACCAGATGCTGGTAAATCAGTAGCCTTTGATGACCTTTGATGTAGTCACAGCCTGGGCCTGGGCTTGTTGCTAAGAGCTGGTTCCTTCCATTGGCAGTGTTTGTCAGTAGTAGCTCTAACCTTTCATGGGCAAAAAGATCGTTGTAACTCAGAACGCTTCCTGCAAAGTTTTCTCTGTTACAGCGGGGAGCTGCACTTCTGTTTGTACCCTTAGATTCTCTTTCCATCACCAAAAATACTTGTTATTCATCTGGTTGGGTACCTCAGAGTACCTTTCTAACATTCATTCTTAACATGACAATTGATTAGAATTATCCTTTGAATTGTTATATCTGTAAAATGGGTTGTTTAAAATGGCTTGCACCTGTTAATCTGATAGATCAATAGCTTAATGGCTCAGATCCTCAGAGCTTATCGACAGACTTATCTTCCTCACACCCCTGTGGCAAGTTATGGCCCGATTCAGTGACTTGTCCAAATTCACACACAGGGGGTGGGGGGTGGATCTACATGTGTGCTTTACTGCCAAGTTCACTAAGTATCTCCCTAGTAAAGCATCACTGTCTACATGTGTGGCAATATTATACTGGAGTAAACTAATTAACTCCTCTCTAGGATAGTACTGTCTGACACAAGTACTATTCAGCACTGGGGAGGCCACATC